TGGTAATTCTCTTACAGATTTAAAAGTCACTATCATTGAACAAAAAAAACTTCAGAAACAGACTTCAAAGAGAAACAGCAGAACTAAAATTTATTTGCAAATTTAATACCATTAATCTGGGCTTGAATAGGGACTGGGAGTGGCTGGCTCATTACAGAAGCAGCTTTTCCTCTCCTGGAATTGACACCTCCTCATCTATTATTGGGAGTGGACTACATCCACCCTGATCGAATTGGCCCTGTCAACACTGGTTCTCCACTTGCGAAGTAACTCCCTGCTCTCCATGTGTCAGTATTTAATGCCTGCATCTGTAACTTTTACTCTATGCATCTGAAGAAGTGAGGTTTTTACCCACGAAAGCTTATGCCCAAATAAATCTGTTAGTCTTTAAGGTGCCACCAGAGTTCTAGTTGTTCCTGCTCTCAAGGAGAGCATTGGAAGGGAGTTGAAACCTCATGCTTTGGGGTTTAAATCAATCTATGAGGGATTAGCATGTGACCTGTGTAGAGTGCGATTATCCCACACCTGCCTGTTGTGGGGTTTCTTCTCCGTTCCTCAAGATCTGGCCACTCTCGGATGCAAGATACTGAACTAGATGAACCCAGGGTCTGATTCAATCTGGCAATTCCTATGAGAAAGCACACCACCCACATGGATGCACCCTAGCATGATCCCTACCATGCCGCTGGTGCTCAGAGAGCTGAGCGACAAGGACAAAGTCATGCAGCAAGCCAGTGACAAAGTCCAGAACAGAATGCAGAACTTCTGATGCCCAGTAACCTGACCAGCCTTCCCCTGCTAGCAATGGGAAGTGCTGAGGTTTCATTTCAGATGCAGAATGACAAAGGCCCTTTGTAACAGATTGGGTCCAAAATAAACAGCCAGAGGAGAGCCTCAGAGGCATGGAGACCCTGAACAAGAAAAGAAATGGGAAAGCAAAAGGTAAACAATGGGTGAAATCCTGGCTCTCCTGAAGTCAGCAGCAAAACTCCCTTTGCCTTCAGTGTGCCTGGATTCCCCCCAGTGTGGTTAAATGGCAGGACTCAAAAGGTTATCTGACACAACAATGGAAATCCAGCCAATAGAAAGGAATCAGCTGTGGCAGATGAAATATATAGTGGAGAGTAGGAGGCTAAGAATGAATCTGAAGAGCAAATAGCTAAAGGTATAAACACAAATATGTTCATTAGGTTTATCAGAAGCAGAAAACCTGCAGGTGAATCGATGGGCTCAAGGGACCATGAGGGAGAAGGACATCGCAGAGACGCTAATGGTGGCTTTGCATGTCAGGAAGGCATTAAAGAGCTCCCTTGGGCCCCAGCAGCCCCAACCTGGTGCATCTGTGAGGCTTATCCAGCCTGGAGATGGGTGGGCCCAGCGCAGGGCTGGGTGGCACTCTGATGGGGCAGGACTGCAACACAGAGCTCCCCAGTTCCTGGAAGAAGGGGTTGCTGACCAAGAAAACAGCTTGAGAGCCCTGGCAGTCCAGGCCCTTTCAGAAAGGTGTCCTGATTTTTCACACTTGCTATCTGGTCAGCTTACCTTTACCCCTCTGCAAGAGGGCAGTACCCTGAACAGCACAGCCAAGGGGCCCTGCCCTGGTAGACAGGAGCAGTACCCACCCTCCGCCCACAGGCTCACTAGAGAAAGAGAGCCTACCACCTCAACTCAGTTGAGTTTGCAGGTATGCTTGTGTCAGGTTATAAAGATGAAGTGCTGCTAGGGATTGAGGGGTACTATACAGAGGTGCTGGAACAAATTAGTCAATTAGAAAGCAATAAGGGAAAGGTATAACATGGCCCAGAGGCTGGAAATTGAAGCTAGACAAATAGAAATAAGGCATAAATTTTCAGTGGAGGGTAATTAACTACTGGGTGACCTAAGATGTGGTGGATTCTCTATTACTTGAAGCCTTTAAACCAAGACTGAATGTATTTCTAAAAGATACACTTTAGCACAGACAGAGGTATGGGCTTGATGCCGAGGTTACAGGGTGAGGGTCTGTGGCTTGGGGGTTGGACTAGATCCGTGGTTTCAACTTTCTTTCATTTATGAACCCTAAAAAATTTCGAATGGAGGTGCAGACCCCTTTGGAAATCTTAGACATAGTCTGTGACTCCCCAGGGGTGTGCAGAGCACAGGTTGAAAACCACTGGACTAGATGATCACAGCAGTCCCTCTAACCTTACAATCTGTGAAGCTACGAGTCTGAATCCAGATTCCTTGGCTGTTTTCCAGGGGGAGCTGATCAGCTTATCCAAGCAGTGTGACTTGCCCACGAGAAAGGTGGAGAGGTGGTTCCGATACCGGCGGAACCAGGACAAACCCAGCTTGACTACAAAATTTTGTGAGGCCAGGTGAGTGCTATGGCCAGAGGCCTTGGGTCACTTCAACCTTCCAGCTGGGTCTGAGCTCTGCAGTCTGTACACAGCCTCCCAGCACCTCCATGGTCCCAGCTGGAATGTGCCCTTCCCGCTGCCCCTCTGCTTCGCCTCCCTACGCCTCCTGTGCTGCCTCCCTACCCAAAATCAGAGGCCTCGCTTTTCCCTCCACCTTCAGCCCCTGGACTGTCTCCTTGGCCCTGTCTCCTCCTACGCCTGCCCCCTTCACTCCTTCTGATCCCTACCTGCCCTTACATTCCTTACCTTTAAACTGGCTTGTTACCCGGGGTTTTCAGAACCAAAGCAGGGGTAACTAGCTGTTCCACTCCAGGCAGTTTCAGGAATAAATTAGTGGGAGCACAGCAATTTCCATCTGATAAATGGTTAATACAAGCAAGCGTGCTCTTATCTAAAACGACAAGTTGTTGGATTTAAGCACACACAGACACAAGCAATAGGGCTAGGACATCCCAGATATGGTTACCCACAGTCTGAGATGGTTTTAAATGCCCTGCTAGGCTTCCAGGGTCCCTCTTTCCATCCAGCTGATGGAGAGTTTAGATGTCAGCTCCTTGCACGGAGAAAAGCTCCCTCAGGCTGCTCCGAGGTATTCACTTTCACCTAATCTTTTATAGCTAACTCTAACAAAGCACACAGCCTATAGTGACTCCTAGTGGGTCAGCATAACAACCTCCACTGGGTCACCAATTCTCCTAATTTCAACAAACTGCTCATTATCTCAAAACACTTCTAGTATTTCCAGCCATAACAGCAACATGTCAGGTCACCTGAAACCAAAGTCGCTATCCACTAACTCTTCCATAACTTTCTGGCCCATCCTCCCATTCTGATTAGCAAGTATGCAGCTGTCTGACCTTGTCTGACGAAGGCCTACGATTATTCCCAGCTATGTGATGTTTGGTTTTCAGCTGGCAGTGGCTGAATGTACAAAATGGCTGACTGCAGCACTGTCAAGTTCTGGGGTACATGCAGGAATGTCAAATTCCAGGGCAACAGGCTCCATCACCTCTGCTTTCAAACATGACCTCTCTTGAAAAATCTGTCGACACCCCTTCCCCGTCCTTCCAGCCACTGCCTGTCGCCCTCCCGCCACGCCTTCAGAACCCTCGAGGCTGCTTCCCCTCCTCCGGATCTCCTCTGCCCCCTTTAAACTGACTCCTGCTACTGAACCCTTACTGTGGCACTGCTCATTCCCTTCCGCAGTGATTACCCGAGACCAGGGATCAGCAACCTAGGGCACGCGTGACAAAGACGACACACGAGCCAATTTTTAATGGCACACCGCTGCCTGCCAGGGTCCCAGCTGCCGGCCCCGCTCAGCCAGCGGCCGGGACCCTGGCAGGCAGCAGCATGCCATTAAAAATCCTGCCCGGCCCAGCCTGCTCTTCTCCGCCCACCGCTCTCTCCTGCGGGGGCAGGGGGCAGAAGCTTGGTCATGCCAGCTGCTGCTGCAGGGCAGCCTCCACCGGCAGGCCAAGCTCCCCCTCCCCGCCTCTTCCCCCAGCTTGCTGGGTTCCTGCCCCTCCTCCTCTCCCTCCCTGCGGCCAAACAGCTGATGGTCCTGGAGAGAGAGAGGGAGAGGTGGAGCCGGAACCGCAGCCGCAGCGTGCTCACTGCCTTGGAGAAGAGGCGGGGACGGGGCCTTGGGGAAGGAGGGTGGAATCAGGGCATATCCCCTCCAGCCTCCTGCCGTGAGCCACTCAGGGCAGGGGGCTGGGAGCATCCCCACGACTCCAGCCCACACCCCCAGGCCCCTGCCCTGAACCCCCCACACCCCCAGGCCCCTGCCCTGACCCCTGCACCCCCCTCACACACACCGAGCCCCCTGCCCTGACCCCTGCACCCCCCCACGACCCCAGCCCTGACTCCAGCACCCCCACACACACATACTCATCCCCCTGCCCTGACTCCTGCACCCCCCCACATGCTCCCAGCTCTGATTCCTGCACCCTCCTCACACACACACCCATCCCCCTGCCCTGACTCCTGCACCCCCCACACATACCCAGCCCCCCCCACACTCCATTCCCTGACTCTTGCACCCCCCACATCCCCACCCCCACCCTGAGCACCAAACGGAAGCTCCTGCACCCCCCCTCACACACATTCCCACCTGCACCCCTCACACCAAATGGGAGCTGCCCAGGTAAGCGCTCCACACCCAAACCTCCTGCCCCAACCCTGAGCCCCCTCCCTCATTCTAGCTCCTGGCCAGACCCTACACCCCAACACCCAGCCTGCTCCTTCACCCCCAGGCCTGTGCTCAGTGCACTCCCACCCTCAGCTCAGTGCAGAGAGAGAGGAAGAGAATGGGCTAAAACCAGGGAGAAGGTAGGTACGCCCTCTATGTGGGCAGGGCTGGGACCCCAGACCGGCAGTGGGCTGAGCAGGGCCGGCAGCTGGGACCCTGGCTGGCAGGAGCCGGCGGATGGAACCTCAGACTGGCAGCGGGCTGAGCCGCTCAGCCCGCTGCCGGTCTGGGGTCCCCCAGCCGCTGGTCCCACTCAGCCCGCTGCCAGTCTGGGGTTCTGGCTGCCAGCCCCTTGCCAGCCGGGGTCCCGGCCACAGGCCCTGCTCAGCCTGCTGCCAGCCTAGGTGAATGGCACCCCAAGCTGGCAGCGGGCTGAGCAGGGCGGCGGCGTAAGATCTGCATTTTAATTTCATTTTAAATGAAGCTTCTTAAACATTTTGAAAACCTTCTTTACTTTACATATGACAATAGTTTAGTTATATAATATATAGACTTATAGGGAGAGACCGTCTTAAAAACGTTAAAATGAAAGTGAATAAATGAAGACTCGGCACACCACTTCTGAAAGGTTGCCAACCCCGGCCCTAGACGGTGCTGTCCAGAGGCTAGGCCAGCTCCTCTGCTGGTGTCAGGTGGCCCCATCAGTTTACATCAGCAGATAATGTGGCCCAAAGAGCTCAGCTCCTGCATCCCTTTGGTTCAGTGTGTTGTGTGGGAGCTCAGCAATTGTAATTCCCCCAACGCCCCTCTGAAACTGCTATGTATGAATCAGCTCAATTACAGAGATGACAAAGCTGAGGCACAGGGAGGTCAAGGCAAACGCTGGGTTCCTCGGGTTTTGGGTGCCCAAGTTTTTAGACAGCAAAGATGTCTCAAGCTGGACATGCAAAAATGTAAGTCCCCAAAATCAGAGGTTCTGGGCAACAACCACTTCCACTGGCTTCAGCTGGAGGGAGGCTAGAGAGGGATTGTCACAGCGCCGGTCTTGCGTGTGATGCCTCTCACCCGGAGTCTGCATCGCTCGGTGACATTCTCTGGGGGTCAGACTAGATGATCCGAATGGTCCCTGGACATCACTGACTCCATGAAACGTTCTGTAGAAAACAATTCTGCACGGGTGCCCAGGAAGGGGGGCTGGAGGACCTAGTGGGCTGTTGCCATGTACTGACCAGTCTGAACATGTTCAATGTACTTGCCCAGGGGCTGAGGCACTCTATACCCTGGGGTGCCCATCTCTTGCAGGCAGGGCCTGGGAGCTGAAGCTCTTGTACATAACACAGTGGATGTCTACCACCACGCAGGGGCTGATGCAAGCAGCATTTTCCATACATAGGAGGAATAGAAAAATAAGGGATCAAAAATAAAGGAACGGGTCCAGTGAAATCCCCATAGTCTCTGCTAATCTCATTCCACTGAGCCCAGCTATCGTGCCAGGAGTCACACGCTGCTGAAAGGCTGCTTTGGCCAGGGATCACAGGTGCTGAACGGGTGTAGCCCTTGCGTATGTCAGGGTCAGAGAGAGGGAAGAGCCATGGTTTGTAGCCTGTTGCTCCTGGCATAAAAATATCCCAGTTCCCCTATACTCATTCCCTCCACCAATCCCAGAGATGTGTTAAACTGGGCTAGTTACCATATAAGGGAACAGGATTCTGGGAAGTGATAAGGGATTGGAATGGAGGCATCTTTACAAACACTTAGCACTTGAATATTTGGAATGAGGGAATTAAATGTACCTGTGTCACTGCAAGAGGTGGGGTGAAATCCAAGCTCTAATGACATCAATGGGAGTTTTGCCATGGACTTCACTGGAGCCCGGATTTCTCCTTGGGACTGGGACTCAGGAGAGATGGGTTCTATTCCCAGCGTTTATTCTCTGGGTGATCATGGGCAAGGCATTTACCCACTCTGTGCCTCAGTTTCCCCATCTGTACCGTGGAGATGATACTTTCCTATCTCCTATGAGGCTGAGCAATTACTGTTTGTAAAGTTCTTGGAGATCCTTGAATCGAAAGTGCTAGAGACATGCAAAGTATTACTATAATATATTATCACCTGGATGAGCATTTGATACCACCACAGCCCATATGCCTTTGACAATGTCACTGTTTGAATGAATGTCTGGCTGACACTGGGCACAGAGTTGCAGCCTGACCTCTGATGGGGTTCTAATGTGCTTTGTTTTGTTTGTTTTAGCTGGAGGTTTACATTTTACTTCATTTCTTTCTTCACTGGACTTGCTGTCCTGTATGATGTGAGTATATAAGCAGTGCCCACTCGGGTCAGCTGAAATGGAAGATTTTATAATTCAAACACATGTCCACTTGGACCTGAGCTTTCACACCCTCTGCAACGCACATCAGCCACTAGATGGTAAACATGTTTGGTCTTGATTAATTTAGGTTGGAGCTCAACCTCCAGCTTGGATGTGAAGGGATCCCTAGCAGCTTGTCAACCCCCCGAACCACTCATTCCCCTCTGTGATCATTTAGTGATATAGAAGGACGTGCACAGACAACCTTAACTCTAGCATCTCCTAACTTTTGAGTGCTTGACTTTGCAACCTTAATGTTCTTTTCCTGTGGTTTTTGTGGATGAAATGTCCTATGTTTTTAAAACCATATTGAGCCTCACATGGGTCAGCAGCAGGGTTGGGACTTCTAGATCCATAGCACACACCTCTGCCATGTGAGCTAATGGACAGCATTGTCATCCTCTACTTGGACTACACTAGAGGGGGATGAGACACACACTTGGCCAGTGGGAGTCAGAGATATTTGCTGACAGCAGAAGAATGGTGAGACTCAGGAATTTTCAGGTTCTAGAGGGGAGCGTCCTCTAGTGTTTACAGAGTCTTCTGCTTCCTCCCAGCCTGTGCCTGATCCTACCCAGCACCTCCATAGCTCTAGTCCATGTCCCTTTCTGCTCCAACACACACACATAGACTCTTATTGCTGCTTCTCACCATCCCCTCTGCCGGTTCTCTACCCCCTGCTGTCTCTAACCCTCACCAGCTTAGGTCCTCCCTCCTCACCCTTCTCAAGCTGCTTCCTCCATCTCCTCAGCATTAGCATTAGCAGGGGCCACCGAGAGCATAAGAGAGACAGTTTCCCCATTCTCAGTTCTGGCACCAAGGCCATGAAGAGCAACTATGGAGAAAGTCCTGCTTAGCTCTCCTGCCTGGGATGGAGCATGTCTGTCACTCTGTGGGATGGCGCATTGGCACATGCTCAGTCTGGGCAGCATTAGGAGCATGCTCAGTCCAGACGGACTCTTAGGAGAATTTAGCTGCCAACGTAACTAGTCTCAACTGAGGATGTGCAACCTGAGATTTTTCACAGACTCTTTGCTTGGCCAAGTCTGGTGTGATTTTTCACAGAGACAGCAAAAGGCACCTTCCTGACACCAGGATGACCCCTCGCTGTCTAATTTCAAGACCTGCTCTAGAGCACACAAGTGCTAGAGCATCTCAATAAAATGGTTATAAGAATATTTTTAAGATGTGAAAAACATCATATTTCCCCATTACCTCATTCTTGGAAATGACTGGACTTTTTTAGCAGAAACTTTCCCAAAATATTCCGCCTGAGGAAGAAACTCGGCACGGGAAATTTCATCTGGAACAGTTAACAATTGGCAAAGTTACAAGCAACTGAAAAAAGTCTTAAAATGAAAAGTGCCAGGCAACCTTAACAATAGGTGGTGCAACCAACTCTGTCCATAATAAAACATGACAATGTATAATGGGAACAGGCCCAATTGTCACATTCTGGGTGTAATTCAGACCAGCGATGGGTTGTCTCGCCACCTGCCCCACAATGCTTTGCTCTTGTAGCTCCCACCCTGGGCCTCTCACAAATAGCCACCAGCATGCAGGTCACCCCGAGTGTGTGTGTATAGCTGCAGCCCTGGTCCAGCAGCTCTGACCCCAGCAGCCTGTCAGCAACACCCCAGCCACACTCTGGCTTCCAGCAGCCTTGGTTACTACCTGCAGGGTGACCCCAACACACTCCCAGTCCTGGATTTTCCCCAAAATATGTGTTCGGCACTGTCCATCCCTCTCCTGGACACTACAGATATTAAGATCTGTTGCCTCTTGAAGGGGTCAATATTCAACAGTTTGCTAATTTAACTGGAGTTACCAAACAGCTCAGATTAAACACAGCACTGGATTGGTTTAGATTAAAAAATAAAACAGGTTTATTAACGAAAGATTATAGGGTTTTAGGTGAATTCAAGTATAACAAAGGGTTACAAGCAAATAAAAGTGAAAACACACATCTAAAAGTCTAAAACTTCAACTTAATCTAGCAAGGTTTGGTTCAAGGCTTTGTTCAAGATGGTCTTTCTCACCCACAGTCTTCCAACAAGATGGCGACTGATCCTTTCCTTGGTCAGGATCTCTCCCCAGGCTCAAAGGTGCTGATTCCTTTGTCATCTTAGGTGAAAGAGAGAGAGAGAACTTGAGGTTCTCTGCCTCTTTCTTTTATAGTCCAGTGAACCATTGAGGTGGATTCTTCTCAAGATTTCCCCTCAAAGCAAAGTTTATTCAAACAATAAAGAAGGTGAGATGAAGTCTGGTGGAGAAGGAGGCTCCATGCTCCTTCTTCCTACCTATGTTGAAATGCAACTTTGCTTTGTCTCCTGCCATCTCCTCCCCTGCTGCCTGGAGGAGCCTGTTTACTACTTATATGTAAATTGAGGTAAACACGCATTCCTTTGTTTAGGATAGATCCCATTTAACAACCTTTGCCTAGGCTGGGCTGTGTGGTTTTGGACATGTGCTAATAACATCATACAGGGGGATTTCGTAACTTTACATATACTGTTGCTTCATATATTTCACCATGATATTATTGATGAGCAAGTTACTAGTTTTCAAATAATACCTCACAAAGCATATTCTGTACAGAGATTAGTACAATAGAGTGTAGGATACGAATACAGGGGTGCTTAGTGTATCTCCTGTTCATTAGGCAGCTGGTATTCTCATAGTTACACTTTGTTTCTTTACAGAAGCCCTGGTTTTGGGACCATAGAAAATGCTGGGTGGGGTATCCACAGCAGGTGAGTCACTCAGGTGCAAAGATCCATATCGCAAGTCACCTCTCATCCCTGGCTCATATGCAAACATCCAGTTACACTCCTTCACTTGCGCTACTAGCATTAGAAATGGGCCTGAATGAAAACTCCAGACCCGCATGCAGCCAGAATCCAAACCCTGATCCCAAACCAATCTCCAGGTTATACCAGACCATCTTCTTGTATGGGTAACTCCAACTTCTGAGATACAGTGTGAAGGGGATACCTATCGATGACCTAGGTTTGATTCCAGAGACATCAGTCACCTCTGGACAGGCTTGTTACCTCTTCCCTCCTGTAGTGCTGTGAATTATGATTATTTTAGAGTTGGGGAGAAGGAGCCAACAGAGATGAGTGGGCAATTGGAGAAGTAAGAGGAAAATGAAGAGAGTTCTTGGTCATGGCAGCCAAAGCATAGTGGAGAATCAAGGAGGACAAGGGAGTGCTCCCAGGTATCAAGGTTTGAAAATGAGCTTGAGGATAGGGAGGGGCCCTTGGTCAGCAAGAGGACATTAAGAAGTTTTCGTGCATGTCTATAACAGAAGGTACATTCAGGTTACTGTCTCATATCTGGTGGTGCTGAAGAATCACCTCTCAGGCAATGCGCTTCCTCACGAGGTCTGGCAGCAGCAGCGTCTCACACCTATCGAGCATAGTGGGTGGTCTCCTAAAGCTTCACACTGTCCAGGCCCAACCTTCATCAGTAAAAGCTGCAATGACGATCAGACCACTGCCTGTCACGTCTCCCGTGGACCCAGCCCAGGAGAACAGAAATGAACATTTACCAGCCAACGCACAAAATCCGCTCCCTGCTTTTTGTCTGGGTACTGATGATAGTGACAAAAATGCAAGATATTTTGCTTGTCAGTCAAGCCCCCAACACACACACACCACTCTCCACAGTCAAGAGGCCAAGAGCAATGTGGGGAGGCTGTAGCCAGGCATCTCCTGTTGTGTATGAGAGCTGGTGATGACAATGCCTCTCTCCTTATCCTGGACACACTCTGCCTCCTCTGGAGAAGACAGCACTAGCTGGCTGAATAGCAGCACGTGCACACACCCCCCGCATGCAGTAAAGGCAGCAGGCTGGCGTTCCAGCAGCTCTCAGAGAGGGCGTGTGAGGAGCGGAGCTGAGGTCCATCAGATGTGAACAAGCAAATTTTAATTTCCCAAGAATTCTTTCCATAAAAAACTAGAGCAGCTGCTTCATCCGAGCCTGGTGAAAAATCCTGTGAGTCAGTGTAAAGCCCTGAGCTGCCATTCTAGCTCCTCTCAGGAGAGCAGCTGTCAGTCTGTAGAGTCTGCATGAGGTTGCATGCTTGGCAGCAGCAGGCAACTACTAAGGAGATTTGTGGCGCTGCTACAGCAGATGGGTCATTGTGGCCCCTGCAAACCTCCTTGATAACTGGAATTTTAGCCCATCAGAGTTGGAATTCTACCTCACCCCTTTAGCTCCTCCTGAGCATTTCTCAGGGTATGCTGGGAAGGATAAGTCTGAGCTTGGGAAGGATTTCCCATTGCAGTTCTCAGCGGGGAATTGTAAAATCCATGAGAAGGGCAGTGGGAAACTCAGTTCACTGTCATCACCGGTTTCAAACCCAGCCCTTAGCAAGGCTTGCTGCTGCTTTCTCATCTGATCGAACATTACATAAGAACGGCCATACTGGGTCAGACCAATGGTCCATCTAGCCCAATATCCTGTCTTCCAACAGTGGCTGGTGCCAGGTGCTTCAGAGGGAGAACAGAACAGGCAGTTTATCGAGTGATCCATCCCCTATCATCCAGTCCCAGCTTCTGGGAGTCACAGGTTAGGGACACCCAGAGCATGGAGCCGCGTCCCTGACCATCTTGGCTAATAGCCATTGACGGACCTATCCTCCATGAACGTATCTAGTTCTTTTTTTAACCCAGTGAATACTTTTGGCTTTCCTAATGTCCCCTGGCAACGAGTTCCACAGGTTGTCTGTGCGTTGTATATTTCCTTATGTTTGTTTTAAACCTGCTGCCTATTAATTTCATTGGATGACTCTGGTTCCTGTGCTATGTGAAGGGGCAAACAACATTTCCCTATTCACTTTCTCCACGCCAGTCATGATTTTATAAACTTTATCATATCCCCCCTTAGTTGTCTCTTTTCCAAGCTGAACAGTCCTAGTCTTTTTACCCTCTCTTCATGTGGAAGCTGTTCCATATCCCTAATCACATCTATTGCCCTTCTCTGCACTTTTTCCAATTCTAATATATCTGTTTTTCAGATGGGGCGACCAGATCTGCACCCAGCATTCAAGATGTGGGCGTGCCATGGATTTATATAGAGGCAATATATTTTCTGTCTTATTATCTATCCCTTTCCTAATGGTTTCTAATATTGTTAGCTTTTTTACCTGCTGCTGCACACTGAAGAGATGTTTTCAGAGAATTATCCATGGTGACGCCAAGATCTCTTTCTTGAGTGGTAACAGCTAATTTAAATCCCATCATTTTGTATATATAGTTGGGATTAGATTTTCCAATGTGCATTACTTTGCATTTATCAACATTGATTTTATCTGCCATTTTGTTACCCGGTCACCCAGTTTTGTGAGATCCCTTTGTAACTCTTGTGGCAAATAGCCGATGCTACTGTGGTGAGTCCTGCGCTTTTTCTTGGTGTGGTGGGTCAGGGCGCCGCCTCTTGCCCCTCTTCTTGGGCGTGGTGCTCTCTGCTAGTGCCCTGGTGGAAGAGAGAGAGGAGCGGGGAAGGGACCCAGGTCCGCTCTCCTACTCCGGGTACCAGCCCCTTCAGCTTTGCTGGCTGCTTACCCTCTCTCCCTTTGGATAGAGTTTCCCTCAGTCCTCTGTGCTGGGGGAGTCCCTCTGCTCTGCTTGGGCAGTGTTCCCCTTCCCCTTGTCCTCTGGCTAACAGCAATACTCCTCCAAACTCTAGTCAGCTCTCCTTCTCTCTCTCTCTCTCTCTGACTGAAGGGGGGAGGGGTTATTAGGTCTTGGCCGGGGCCTTAATTGGCTGCAGGTGCTCCAATTACCTGGTAGTAACCTTTCCCTAGTCCACAGAGAATAAGGCCTTGATCATTCTAGGGTTTATATACCTCCCATCTACCACGCGCCTGCTGCTCTCTGGCTCTGTTGTATCACATTCTTCACAGTCAATCTGAACTTAATTATCTCAAGTAGTTTTGTGTCATTACAAACTTTGCTATCTCGCAGTTTACCCCTTATTCCAGATAATGTATGAATATGTTGAACATCACTAGTCCAAGTACAGAACCCTGGGGGACACTACTATTTACCTCTCTCCATTGTTAAAACTGACCATTTATTTCTACCCTTTGTTTCCTGTCTTTTAACCAATTACTGATCCATGAGAGGACCTTTCCTTGTATCCCATGACTTTGCTTAAGAGCCTTTGGGGTGGCACCTTGTCAAAGGTTTTCTGAAAGTCCAGATATACTATATCCACTGGTCACCCTTGTCCACATACTTGTTGACACCCTCAGAGAATTCTAATAGATTGGTGAAGCATGATTTTCCTTTTAGAAAGCCATATTGACTTTTCCCCAACATATTGTGTTCATCTACATGTCTGATAATTCTGTTCTTTACTATAGTTTCAACCAATTTGCTTGATACCGAAGTTAGGCTTACCACCCTGTAATTTCCAGGATCACCTCTGGAGCCTTTTTTAAGTAAACAATCATAGGATAAGAGGGAAGGTTCTCTCACGGATCAGTAACTGGTTAAAGATAGGGGGAAAGGGTTGAAATAAATGGTTTTCACAATGGAGAGAGGTAAATAGTGGTGTCCCCCAGCTTCTGTACTTGGACCAGTGATGTTCAACATATTCATACATTATCTGGAAAAAGGGATATATAGCAAGATAGCAAAGTTTGTAGATGATACAAAACTACTCGAGATAATTAAGTCCAGAGTTGACTGTGAAAAATTTGATACAACAGGGCCAGAGATAGTTAAGTCCAAAATAGACTGAAGAGTTACAAAGGGGTCTCACAAAACTGGGTGAATGGGCAACAAAATGGCAGATGAAATTCAATGTTGATAAGTGCAAAGTAATGCTCATTGGAAAATATAATCCCAAGTATACATACAAAATGATAGGGTCTGAATTAGCTGTTACCACTCAAGAAAGAGATCTGGAGTCATTGTGAATAATTCTCTGAAAACATCCACTCAATGTGCAGTGGCAGTCAAAAAAGCAAACAGAGTGTTATTATCTATTAGGAAAGGGATAGATAATAAGACAGTTAATATCATACTGCCAATATATTAATCCATGGTACTCCCATGTCTTGAATACTGCGTGCAATTCCGGTTGCCCCATCTCAAAAAGGATATATTAGAAATGGAAAAGGAACAGAGAAGGGGAAGAAAAATGATTAGGGGTATGAAACAGGAGAGATCAAAAAGACCTGGACTGTTCAACTTGGAAAAGAGACCACTAAGGTGGGGGATAAGATAGAAGTCTACAAAATCGTGACTGATGTGGAGAAAGTGAATAGGGAAGTATTATTTACCTTTTTAACATAACACAAGAACCAAGGGTCACCCAAAGAAATTAATAGGCAGCAGGTTTAAAACAAACAAAAGGAAATACTACTTCATACAACTCACAGTCAACTTGTGGAACTCATCATCAAGGGATGTTGTGACGGCCAAAACTATAAATGGGTTAAAAATGAATTGGATAAGTTCCTGCAGGGTAAGGTCCATCAATGGCTAATAGGTTAGATGGTCAGGGATGCAATCCCATTCTCTGAGTGTCCCTAAGCCTCTGACTGCCAGAAGTTGGGACTGGATGACAGGATAGATCACTTGAAAATTGCCCTGTTCTGTTCTCTTGGTACAAGAATTTGTTGGTTCAGAAATCAAACCCCTTGCTGAATGAAGAAAAGGTTAAGCGGCAACTGGATCACGGGCTGTAGGTCCCAACACAGGCAGAGAATGTCTGATACCAGGCTGTCTCTTCTAGCAGACACATGCAGGACAATATCCTGTGGGTCCACAATGAAATCAGGAAAGTTCAAAACAGAAATAAGTTGCCCATGTTTAATAGTGGGAGTAATTAACCAGTGCAACAGATCAGCAAGGGATTTGCAAATCCTCCTTCATTTAGAGTCTCCTAATCAAGTCTGGGCATCTCTTGTCAAAAGATCTGCTTTAGCAGAATCTGTGGGCACATCCTCTTGCCTGTGTAATGCAGGAAGTCAGAATGGAGGTTCAGAATGGTCCCTCCTGGCCTTAAAATCTCTTAAATCTTGGGATAAAGGATGTTTGAATAAATGAAGTGAAAACATACAATCAAACTTACATTTAGGGAAAACAGAAGCAAAGGTGTATGTCCAATAATCCATGGCTATGTATCCGAAGAAGTGAGGTTTTTACTCACGAAAGCTTATGCCCAAATAAATCTGTTAGTCTTTAAGGTGCCACCAGACTCGTTGTTTATGTTAGTTGCAGTGGCTCAGAAATCATAATCATTTCTAAGCTGGTAAATTCTAGTGTAAGGAAGCCCCCTGATGTCCGCAAAAGACACAATTGCTAATTAAAATGTGTTCATCCTACAGAGCTGGGCTAGAACTTTGTCTTTTCAGCTGTGAAACCACAGGCTATTGCCTGGTGAGTGAACAGACATTTTTTGATAGCTGGTAGTAATAGATGGTTCCTTGACTGCATCATGGAACATCCTCTAGAGGGCAACATTACACTTAAAACCAGCACTTCCCACTGGAGCCAAGGGGCAATATCCCTCTATTCTACAGCATTCTTGTAAGGCCTTTCCCCTGAAATGCAGAGACCTGATCACTACCCAAAACTGTTTGTTTTGTTGGTTGTTTTTTCCCCTTGCCCCAAGCCCATGGCGCTTGTGTGTGGGATATAACACAGCCTCTCCCTCTTGGTGTTGCAGCCCTTACTGCCCTCGGTGTTCTGGTACTACATGCTGGAACTCTCCTTCTATTCCTCGCTGGTCTGCACGCTGCCCTTTGATGTGAAAAGGAAGGTGAGTGGTAGCGCCATGGTGATGGGAATGGGGGCGCAAACTGGGCCGGGGCATCTGGAAGCCTGGAAGGGGGTCGGTTTGGTGAATGTGCCATGCTGCAATGTAACAAATTCAATCTGTCAATTGTACAAGTGTTACAGCCAATGTTAGAATGGAAGCTTTCCATTTCTACTGAGTCCAGCGTGGGATCATTACCTTACTAATTGAATGCAAGTTTCTTTTCATATCAGCTTTTAGTTGGAACAGTATTTCTGAAATCAGGACACTTGGTTATTCTTAACCAATCAACAATCACCCAGTCTCACATCAGTATACCGTCAACAGTTCACCCGTCAAGTGTAGATACAACCAATGTTCTAGGTGTGTACTGAATAGAGTTTTGCAAACAATTGTCAAAGCGTAGTGTTGGGGCTTACACCAAGGAACAGTCAAATCACCAAGATTTCTTGCTACATTTACTTATGATCAGCAGTTCTTTAGTACTGAACACATTTATCAACTTCCAGTGTTTCTTCAAGGTGCAAGGATGGACTTGTCTTTAAGGCACTTTCAAGAGTGTGGTCCCTGCTATTTCAGTGGTTTAGTTTGCAAGGGCCAACTTTAGAACATCAAAAGCAGTTGCTTAAAGTTATGGTTAGGCCAATTTGCTTTGACTTATAAAGGAGGGCAGGTTATAGCATTAGTTACAATCTAAAATATGGTTAGAGATCTCACTAGAGCATGCAGACTCAGCAAGATAACTAACCTTCAGTTATTTTGTATTAAAGAATAGAAGGAAAAATACAATTTTTGAAATGAAATCTCACCATTTTTTATCCTGTTAACCCTGCAATGGGGAGAGTCCTTTCCACATGACTGCTCTGGGCATCTGTCACCTTCCTTGCGGGTTCTGCCCATACCCACCTGGTGATCTCAGTTTTATGTACCTCATTGGGTGGGGCTACCCTCTGATTTCTATTGGATTCTTGCCATCTGAGTGCTCAGATTCCAGTGCTCTGAGTTTCTCTGCTGCTTCCATCAGCATTCAGTAGATGGTGTTGGCTTAGGACAGATTTCTTCAGTCTTTTTCTTATTGCAGGTTTTTTTATGTTTGATTCTTTTCAAGGATTGTATTTCAATATTAGCTCACATTATTTATTGGAATTTCCCCTTCTAGGCTGTTTCTTATAGTAATGCAAAGTTATACCCTGGTTTATATCTTTTAACACTCTGCTTCCTTGTGCCATACAAATCGTATTGCTTCTAGAGTGCCACAATTATTTATAATGAAAACCAACAAAACCTCTTATAATCTTCCAAACTTGATGGACATGCTTCACACATTCTTTGATTGTACATATGCATTTTGTGTTTTTTAGGGTTTGCAACAGAACAAGAGACATTACCCACATATAAAGAGATGTAGATCTGACTGCCAGGCCAAGCAAATATGCATCATTAATTTGGGATGAAAGACATATTGATGAGGCAAAACAGATTATCCATGATATATTTGATTTACAAGGCAAATAAATGTATAGTTTCATTTGGGGTGAAAACGTGTGATTTGAGTTTCTTGGGATAACCAGCAGTTTGCCCCACTTGTTGACCTTCAGTCTCACAACAAGTTACTTCTAGTTTGGTTAACTCCCAGCTCCCAATCCAGCTCTTGACCAATTCCAAGTGTGCAATGGGCCACTTTGCATAGGAAAGCTGGATGTTACCCTTGCATGGTAACATTTTGGAGGCCTTTTAGCTAAGTTGGGAGGTAGAAAGAGGCTTTATCTATATGTAAATTATGGGAGATTTGTGCCTCTGTGGTTAACAATCTTCCCATCTATCCATTTTAGTTTCTATTCCTGGGGGGTGGAACTCCTAACCATAGTTGAACTGTGTGTCCTTAGACAAAGGCGATGTCTGCATTACAGACCTTAGAGTGGCACAACTGTAAGGTCTCCCGGGTAGCTGCTGTATGCCGACCGGAGAGAGCTCTACCACCAGCATAATTAAACCACCCCAACGAGCAGTGCTAGCTCTGTTGGCAGGAGAGCGTTTCCCTCCAACGTAGCGCTGTCCACACCGGCGCTTCTGTCGGTGAAAAGTATGTCAGTCGGGGTGTTTTTTTCACGCTCCCGACCAACAAATGTTTTACAGACAAAAGTGATAGTGTAGACATAGCCAAAGTGTCTCACATGATGTTAATCATTTTCTTATTGTCTTTACTTGCTGGGTGGATCCTATTTTGTGATAACAGAAGTGGATATTTTCTAATCTTCGAGGGCCAGGAGACATTAAGTTATTAATCATTCAAGACATATCACTTGTCTCTACCTCTTGCACTTCACACTGAAGAGAATATTCTCCCTCAGACTGTGTGCGCTGGCCTGGTCATCGGTTCTGCCGGGCTCACTCCTCACTGGTTAGACTGGGTTCCTCTTCACAACAGGGCTTCCCTCCCCTCTGGGAAGGTGGAGAACACATGGCCAAACTTCCAAAGGTGCCATCTTCTTTAGGGTGTCCAGCCTTCGGAGTTGTGAGCTGGGAACCCCCAAAGTTGTGAATGTTTTTGTAAATTCTGCCCTTGATCTGCCATGCCACACTGGTGCTGGAGATGGGAATAGAAACAGCTGACTGCCATGCAGGCTGTACATGTCCATGTGGCCAGGGCTTCAGGAGACATGGGGCTCTGTGTGGTTGCATAGGCTTAAGGCTGCCATATAAGGCTTCATGTGCAGAGGGGAGGGTGTGTGCATTGCAGGCATTAGGTGAGTTTCCGGTATAGGTGAGGTGAGGGTGTAGGCATGCACATGGGCACAGAGCAGAGGTGGGAGCCAATGTTGCTCTAGGGCAGAGGGGAGGTTTCTCTTTGCCTCCTCACTGTAGAGGCATAGGTCTGTGTTGTCAGTTGGGTGCATGTGTGCTCTCTCCAGGTGCTGTCCCAGGTTCAGCAGACCTCAATAGTACTACTACTAGGGGGAGGGATAGCTCAGTGGTTTGAGCATTGGCCTGCTAAACCCAGGGTCATGAGTTCAATCCTTGAGGGGGCCACTTAGGGATCTGGGGCAAAATCAGAACTTGGTCCTGCTAGTGAAGGTAGGGGGCTGGACTCAATGATCTTTCAGGGTCCTTTCCAGTTCTATGAGATAGGTATATCTCCATATATTATTTTGGGCCCCACACTACAAGAAGGTTGTAGAAAAATTGGAAAGAGTCCAGCGGAGGTCAACAAAAATGATTAGGGGGGCTGAAGCACATGACTTATGAGGAGAGGCTGAGGGAACTGGGATTGTTTAGTCTGCAGAAGAGAAGAATGAGGGGGGATTTGATAGCTGCTTTCAACTACCTGAAAGGGGGTTCCAAAGAGGATGGATCTAGACTGTTCTCAGTGGTAGCAGACGACAGAACAAGGAGTAATGGTCTCAAGTTGCAATGGGGGAGGTTTAGGTTGGATATTAGGAAAAACTTTTTCACTAGGAGGGTGGTGAAGCATTGGAATGGGTTACCTAGGGAGGTGGTGGAATCTCCTTCGTTAGAGGTTTACTAGATTCGACGGGGACAGGTGAGCAAAGCCCACAGGTAAGTGGGGAACATGGAGACCGGGGAGATGGGTCGGAAACGAGAGGGAGTGTGGGCTATATTGTCAGAGAGAAAGGAGGGTCAGGACAAAACTGTGAGGAAACATCAAACCAGTATCTTAGATGCCTATATACAAATGCTGATTTTACAGAGATGATTTTTACCTTTTTCTTTAATTAAAAGCCTTATTTTTAAGAACCTGATTGATTTTTCCTTGTT